CGGCTGTGGGAGGAAGAGTACAACGCCACTTTCGCGAGCAACCGCAACGCTAGTAACTGTGAGCAGAATAAAAGTGACCCCACTTATATCAAGCAGAAGGTAAGAGGGGAGGAAAAAAAAAATGCGATATGAACGTACACGGGGAAGCATGCAGCTGGTCTGTGCTGTATCAGCATAGCCTGCGTACGTGTTTGTGTGCCTGCTGTATATATATTTCTAAGCAAAGGTTTTGCTAGCTACCCTCGCTGTACTGTCTCCTTGTGTTGCGCTGTACGTAGTGGCAAAGAGTTGTCTCCAGAAGGATGCTGATGTCAGTTCAGCCTTTGCTGCCAAGAAAAGCTGAAAATCAGCTTACAGGACTGGGCCCACGTTGGCGTTAGGTTGCAAAGTGTACAGGTGGGGGCCCTCCTTCTGCTGAGAGTCCGGCCTGCGTTTGTGCGCCATCGCGGGCTCCGCGACTGTCCTGGTGTCCCCCGTCACTGTGAACAGTTAAATAATTGTTTTAAAGCTGTCAGGAATGAGGTACAGTTTACAATGCGTTTGATGAAGAGGAATTACAGGAATGAAAGATGAGGGGGAACGAAAATAGCAAAAACTTTTCTGCCTTGTTGAAATATAAATATGGCAAGATGGCAGCACCCTGTGCATAATAACATTTTAAACATTTTTTTCATACTTTAGCTTGCTGGGTAACTAGATGTTAATTGGAGTATCTTCTGTTGCACAGTTTTCAGGTTACACTTAAGCACAACTAACTGTGGGCTGCCGTTAGAAGAGATGATCGTACTCCACTTTCCCTTCTCTCTCTCTGCTGTCTTTTCTCTCATTTTGTTGGATCTAGCAATTATGCAGCTCTGTGTTACAGGTTGGGTTGGATCACCTCACTGATTCAACTGAAAACTCTTTTTTTTTTTTCTTTGAGTACTTTTTTTTCTGAATCAGCAAACTGCTCTGAGACAGTGTGTGACTAGGATTGCTACATCTAACTCAGGGGATGGCAGGGGGGAAATATTTGCAGAAGAGGTAGAACAGAACCACCCTGGCAACAGCCATTTAGATCGAATTAAGTGGAACATGAAACTACTCTGCAGAATCAGAAAAGTGGATGATTTGCACTGCAGATTACGCAAAAAATTGAGTTAATGGGAGACTGTTGGTATTGCCCTACGCTGCTGAAAGTGACTGCTGCAGTGTAGCAGGTGGCACTTGAAAATTTTACTTACTTCCCAAATTTGAATCTCTGACATACTCCATATGCACGAGGCTGAATGCCTCAGCTTGTTTTCCTCATATATAAAAGAAATTTTTAAATGCTTCAGAAAGATTCCATCGAGGATGGTCAAAGAGTTCCAATTTTTTAGCATGGAGGTAGACTCTACCTCGTTTGATAAAAGCCTGTGGTAGTAGAAAGAATTTGGAAGTAAAAAGGTAAATACACTTCTGGTGTAGCACACTTCCTGGGCTGACCGAACAGCCAAGGAAGGTACTGTATGCCACCTATTAGAACTGATTTGGAGATAATGACCAATTAAAAACAATCCCATGATAGTCAGAACCCAGTAGATGGACAGCTAGGTCTTCCTCAAGTATGTCTTTTACTAATTAAACACCAAGGAAGCATTGTTCATGGCAACAGATGCTCTTGAGAAGAGCATCAGAGCTTGCTGATGATTGGGTCTGGGATGCTCCTTTAGAAATCTATCATGATATGAGGCTTGGCTGCTGGACATTTATCACAGGGCCTAAGCCCTCTATTATTCACAACAAACTCAAAACACCTGAGGTTGGGCCGCTAAGGCTTATGTCCATTTATCTGTGGAGCCACTCTGAAGAGCTGCCTGGGAACTGAAGTATCTTCAGAGCACAAGAGGAGATGGACATGTGAACCATCAAGCCTTAAAGGCAGAAAAGATTTTTTAATGGGAAAAATAAGTTTCCATGGCAAATAATCTTCCATTGAAATAGTTTGGTCTTCTTTAGAGAATACCCAATATGTTTTGGTGGACTGGAAGGCTGTGGATAACTATGCGTCAATGAAGGAGATTTTGTCTCAATAGTGCTTGTATATTACTCCCCCAAAGTGTGTTTCTTTACTATTAGCTAATGCTCGTTTGGTGCATTGTCATATCGTGTCATGCCTCAGTGGAAACAACAACTGTAAAAACCATACCTGGTGCATCCAGCCCCAAATGCAGACCCCATGAAGAAACTTACATTTCACAAATATTTTTGTACTTAGCATTTTCTAGACGCCTCCCAAATTCAACCTGATTTGCAAACTGTGATCACATGTGCTTAAAGATATAAGACTTGATATTCCTTTTTGCAAAATATTAAAGCAGTGTGCTTAATTTCAGTTGAATTTTAGACAGTGTCTCCAACTGATGTGATGGTGAATTTACATATTACTGTTTTTTTGGCATAATGGAAACAAAAATTAATTAACTTTATATTGAAGAATATAAGTCTTTCAGGATGGTTGAATTATGGCCAATACTACTTATTCGTTTTCCCTTCCTTAACAAATTTCCATTCCCCCCATTGCAATGGGTATCACCAGACTATGAATTATTAAACAGTCATGCTCTTATCTAGATGTCTAGCATCATTTTTATGCCATACTTGTTACCATAGTATTTGAATATGAAATTCTCAAAAGGCCCATTAATTTCAGTGAAACCTGGTCTCCATGTTAAGCAGTAATCATATATACAGTGAAAAGAGCAGATCCAGTAATTCATATCTCAAGGCCTTAGCTGAGAATATAAGAAGTGGATTTTCCAGGACCACCCTAGCTGACTTACGTATATGGATACTGTAAACTTTTCTGCCAGGAGCGTTCCCATCAAGTCCTGTTTGTAGGTAGCTCTTAGAAAGATACATCCCTTACCAGTGAATTTAGTATAAATCCTTCAGTTCTGAGAATGGAGAAGCTTTTTACTAATCTCACCAATTTCAGAGCAAAATGTAAAAAGAGACTGAAGACAAAATCATCAGCAGCCTGCAAAGATATATAATATAATTCAGAATAGATAGTCTTTGCAGCATTTAGATTAATTATTTCTTAAGATTTGAAGGAATGTAGTCATTTTATAATTAATCAAAATGAGTTCAAAAGTCATTGGAAAAAAAGCTGGAACGTTCTGATTGCTGGCTTGAGTAATCCTTTTTTGCTCAGAAGGAGCTATATTGAAACGTGATTTATCATCCAAGACATGCATTTTCCTTTGCTACTCAGTAATATTTTTTAATTTTATGAGCCTGTCAGCTTATCATGTCCTGCCCATTGTTCAGCCTCAGGCACAACTTTTCTCTCTTAATTTCATCGTTATTTAAGTGAATTGCTTCTTCATTTTCATTCTTTTAATTTTGAATTCTGTGATTTTAAAAATTATTTCTGCCTAGCATGATCATTTTTTTTCAGAGCAGAGTGAATTTGCAGATTAAAAAGCTACATCCTTCTCTTCAAATTTCTGCAGTTCCATTGATTTTAATAGTTATATGATTTTTAAACCAGCTGAATATTTGACCTATCATTTTATATATTCATTTCCATTTACTTTATAAATACATGAAGGGGGCAGTTGGGTTCTTTACCCTCTAAATGATCTTAATGCTGCCCTTCTCTGTTTGAGTTATGCCATCAGTAGACAAGTCATTTACGTCAACAAAGTTTTACTCATTTGTGGCAGCTGGATGTGCAGTCATGTTCTTTATGTTGCACAGCTTCTTCTAAAACAATGAAACCTAAGTCTTTGTTGTTTTATTCCTTCTGTTTCATGTTTCATTATGATTTTGGCAATAACATTTGTATTGCATTGTATGTGGGGTTGAGATGATGTATTTGGTTTTGTTTTGAATGTATTTGTTTCTAACGTGTTAGTGTTTCTTTGATGCTGATGTCTTAGAATGTAAATGGTACTAAAGATACAATGCTTGCAACGGTGTGGAGTTGTAGAGTGTCCTCTTTGCTCCATAAATTGTACAAAAGGTACTATCCATTAATCAGATTTTTTTTTTTTTGGTCTTCATAAATGCAATTAAACATTGCCCCGGAGATGTCTGTGCTTTGTTTATGCCCGTTTGTCTGCAGGCTGAGTTGCTGCCCTTCTCGTTGATGCTGCCCCTTCAGACCGAATAATTTCCCATCCCATGCCAGCCTCTCTCTCTCACTCTGTCTTTTTCCTCTTTTAAATCATTTCCTTTCCTATAGCTTTTTCCCCCGGTCTGCATGGCTTCTCTGTGCACTGCCACATTCTGTAGACGGGGCTGCTTCCCTGACCCCTCTCCCCGAGCCTTTTCTTTTGAATAGATAGATCTAATGCCTTCCTTACCTGCTATATAGGCCACATTTTAGTCGTTATTTTCAAGTACAGACAACACGAAAGCAGAATAAAACAGATTTTGGGACAAATAATGTGTCAGTAGGGAAGGTATTAGAGATCAGAGTATTATTTTCCGTTTCAGTCTGTTTAGTCTTCAGGTTTTTGACCCTCCCAGGGTGACTACAGTGCTGGCCAGTGGACATGACATCATGACTCCTAAGGCAGACAGACACTAAGGGAAGAGAGTAAAAGACTCCAGAGTGCTGGGGATCTTGTGAGCTTTCCATGAGTGCCCCTAGATCAGCTGAATTTTTCTCTTGTAATAAAACCTGGACTCTTGTAAACAGAGAGTTTGAACTAGAAACTCACGGTCTCTGCCTATAAATATAAAGATGAGTTTATAAGGCATTCAGCAGTCTTTAAAATTGTCCAAAGTTCACTCCTGAAAGTTCTGGGGGGTTTTTTTGGTTATTTTTTTGTTTTTGTTTTTAACCTTTAGAAGGTACTGCTCTGTGGGCATTATGCTAGCTACAGAGGTATCAGCTGAAACTTGTGATTTAGATGATTCAAAAATACAGGCATAGAAAAGCTTGAGGAGATTTACACGACTGTACCTTCTACTGATTCTTGAAGAGTGCAAACCCCTACTCAAGTCTGTGTGATACCTCAGAGAACTTCAAGACAACTTTCTGAGTGACTTCAGTCTCTGCATCTGAAAGCTTGTTCTATGGGATAATGTATTATAAGAGTTTGTGCAAATGAACGTACTTCCTTTTCCACTGCTACTCTTTCATCTGAACAGGTTGTTTTCTTTTAAAGGGCTGTTGTGACTGCTGTCTGTCTAGCCTGCATAAATATATTGAAGACAAGATCTGAATAAGTTTGTTGAATATAATTTAGCAGTCAGCTTCATAACTGTGCAATATAGTCTTTTTATTTGACTTTTCTTTAGTTCTTTTTTCTATAACCATGAATAGCCTATTAGCTGTTTGTTTATCAAATTTATTTTATTTTTAAACCATTAAAAAGAACTCAGAAATTTTCCCTTCATATTTGTTTACATTTTATTGTCATCACATAGCTACTGTTCTTTATGTGAATACCTGCTGTAGCATTTCAAAAGAGAGATCAGTGACTTGGAAGCTTTCTGAGCCCAGAAATTTCCAGTGTTTTTAAAACTAAGTAGTTCACATGTCTGTACATGTGACTCAGGATAACTTTTTAATGCTGTGTTTCATTTTTATGCATCATTATAATTTTTAACATTGTACTTCATGATGTGAGAGCAAATCCTGATCTGTTTACTCACATAGCATCCTAATCAGTGAATCGTTTCTTTGTAACCCTCTCAGTAGGATTATTTATGAAGAAAGATATCCTCCTGTGAGTAGGGAGCCTGGGCTGTGTTCCTCGATCAAAGAGGATTTTGTACTGTTTTCTGAAAGATTCAAATAAAGCTAGTGTCCTCTTGCAAAACCCTGTGCTGAAGGACTTAAAGTATGAGCACCTGCCCTTGTAAAAGCATGGTCAAAAGAAGTGTTCTCTTGTCTTTGTTGGAGCTTCGCTGTTAAGGGTACTTGTAAAAGTAAGACAGAGACTGAACTTATTTTAGATAAAGTGTAACAAGAGCTGTTTGAGGACTATTGAAGATAAGTTACTGAAGTGGAAGTCTTTGAACATGCATGTCCTTTGTATTAGCCATTTTTATTATATATTTGTAGTCTTATATAGTACTGTATTTTATTTTATTATAGCATAATATAGTATAATATGATTTCACCTACAATATCATATCACAATATCTGTAATAATAATGTGTATTGTATTATGCTATATATCACATGATAATTATAATTGTAGCATTCTATAATATATATTTTTATAATTTATTATTGCTTTTATTATTATTTTTGTTTTCTCTTTGCAGGAAGTTCAAGAAAAGGCGTCTCTCTTTAATATGCAGTTGGACTTAAGTGGGGCAATTCCCAGCCTTATAGTTGCCTTTGTCATTGTAGCTAACGGGGATCGCCAGGGACGAAAAAGGTCTCTAGTTTTACCATCAGTGGGAGCTCTGATTACAAATGTCTTCCTCGCTGTAATGTCATATTTTTCCTTGTCACTCTCTATCTTATATGCGGTTGCATTTATTACTGGACTGTTTGGGAGTATGGCAGCTTTCCTTGGAGGAGGCTTTGCTTTTATCGCAGATCTGTGTCATGACGAGAAGCAGAAAACAACACGAATAGCTGTGGTTGATTTGATTTTTGGATTTGTATCTGGATTGGCGGGACTGTCTTCTGGCTACTTTATAAAAGGACTAGGCTTTACGTGGACGTTTGTGACAGCATCTCTGCTTCATGCCATTAATATTATCTATATTATATTTTGTCTGGAAGATACAGTAGGTGTATCTGAATTCCAGCAACAGGAACCAGTATCTTGTAAAGAAGTTCTTAAAGAGACATTTTCTGGAGTGTACATGCTTTTTAAAAATGCCCCCTTTAAAAAGAGAATTTTAATCATTGTGTTGCTGTTTACATTTATGACTTACTTGTTTACTATGTTTGGTGGGAGTTCACTTTTTACACTGTATGAGCTGGATGAGCCACTCTGCTGGAATGAAGTATACATTGGATATGGAGCAGCTGCGTTCACTTCCATCTCTCTGACTAGTTTTTTAGGAGTTTACTTATTTTCTAAGTGTCTCAAAGACATTTATATTGTCTTTATTGGAATATTTTCTTGCATTGGAGGAATGGTCATGGCTGCCTTTGCCAAAACTACCCTGCTCATGTTTCTAGGTGAGTTCAGAACCAGGTGTTTTATGGTCAACAATACATATGAAAATACTGCTATGTTATCTATAGTTAATGCAGTTGGTAGTTATTGAAGTACCTTCTTGAAAGGGTCCTAAAGAGGTAAAAAAATACAAGGTTAGGTCAGACTCGTTTAGGGTTTAATTAAAAGAAGAGTGTGGAGGGTGAACAAAATCACTTATTACTGGTTTTTAGTGCTGTGCACACATACTGGATTTATGATTTTTCTCTGTGCTTGGAGAGTTGTGTCTCAGTACACTTTTGGTTTGATTTTTCTATTGCCTGTTACTCTCCAGGGAACTCAGCACTCAAAACTGTGTGACTAATTAATTTGCGATGTATTTGTAAATTCCCAGAGCTTTGTTCTTGTAATGTTTCATGACTGATTCGTTGCTTTACAGTAAGAGTACCATCTTTACTTTGCTTTATGCCTATTCCTGTTTTGCGATCCATGCTGTCAAAAGTCGTTCTTGCTAGTGAACAAGGTGAGTAGTAGAACTTGTTTTTAAAAATTACAATAATATGTTATTTCATAACAGATGCACTAAGATTACCTTTAAGCAAACAGATACTCATTGATATTTTAAGATTACTTTTCTTTTCAAGTTCCATATAATAAGATCCTATGTCATGATATTAGTGGCTTTTGGTTCTGAATGTAATACAAACAAGATTGTGTTTTTATGCTATACTGCAAGTTTCACCTTTGAAAGGAGATATAGCTCTAAAAAATGACCATGGGGAACGTGAAACTGAAGCATGCTTAAGATTTGTACAGTTGTAGTTTTACAAGTGCTTCTACATTTGCCAGCTTTTGACATCCGGAGAAAGGTACACTTCTGCTATTTAGTCAGCATCACACCTTCTAATTTAGAAAGGTAAGCAGTAGATGATCAATTTAAAAAGCACTTGAAAACAAACAATTAAAAACTTGGATTCTGAGTTACTCACCGTGCTTCATGGGTATCCATGGCTACTTACACATAGGATACTGAAGGATCCTCTCAAAAATGAGGAGATGCTTACGTGCTGAACCAGCAGTCTTTTTTGGGTCAGAGTCTCGGTGAATTTCTCCACATCTAAGGGGCAAGATTAGAAAAACAACAGAAGGGAAACAAGAAAGGGCAGAATGAGATTAGAAAGGACAAAGAATTGGAAGGGGTAAAGGATTGAGCTGTGCTCAACATAGTTAGTGAGGATGAATAGTTTGAACTTAATGATGTGATACACAGATTGAAGAAAATTGGTATGGTGGCAGAACAGTAGCAAAGAAAGATAGTTTCCATTAGCAAAACCTTTTTATTAAACAGACAACTGTTTTGAAAGCATGAAAGACACTTCCATGGCAAAGACATATGATACTCAGGTGCTTGTGACTTGCATACTGGCTAAAATACTGCAGATAGATCTTTGCTAAATGTCTTTCAAAACAAGTTTAAGAACTTTAGTACTTTGAAAGGGTTTTCATTTTGTTTTGTTTGTAATCCATCCATTTCTTTTGGCAGGTTCTGTGTTTGCTTGTATTGCCTGTTTAGAAGTTGTGACCGGTACTATTTCACTTTTAGTTTTTAATAGTCTCTATGCAGCTACTGTTGCATGGTTTTCGGGCTTCAGCTTCCTCTTATCAGCAGGCCTTTGTCTAATTCCACTGAGTGTGCTATGGTAAGTATATATCAGAAGGGTTCTTTTCTAGAATTTGACTACTTTTACTGATAACTTCTTGTTGGCACGCTTTGAGGCTGAATGGTTTAGTGCGGTAGTTCTCAAACTTTGTTATTTTCTAATATATTTAATATATTTTGTGTGTAGCCCACCCAGTTTGGGAACTGCTTGTATAGTGCAAGCCTATGAAAGGTATTCTGAGAACTTCTCAGCAGGGAGCTGCTTGGAGTGAGGCAGAGCTAAGACTAGGGGATGGAGCCGTGGTAAGAAGTCTTCCTCTGGACGATAGGACAGGAGAGAGGGAACCCATCGCTAACAGCTGCTTTGTCTCAGTGAAGCTTGTGATCAGTTCCTTGACAGCAATGGCTCAGCTGCTAGAAGCTGAAGCCTCCTTCTTAGCCTCCTTCTTTCTCTTTACTACCTATCTCCCACCTTGCTCAAGATTTCCCATCATCACTCTAATTCTGGCCCCGATCCAGCTACCTACCTCCAGCCCCATGCTCTGAACTTGTCACCTACTTTCCCAGATTGAAATATATCCTAAATTTACTACTAGGAAGACTGCTCTTCCTTGGTTGCATGTGTGTGCCCTTCCATTGGTTTGAGGCCTGTACATGTGCCACTGAGAAAACATTTCGTGCAGAAAAAAAGTAACAGATCACTGTGAAAGACATGAGCTCAGTTTTGCAGTGTGAGCTCTTCTAGAAGATAACAAGGGTTATAAGCAAGACCAGTCCAGCCAGTTCATTTAATGAAATGCTATCTGTCCAGGTCCTTGGTCATGGATACCTTCTGACCATGTTCCATTAAAATGTGTAGATCTGCACTAATGTTAAGCTCCATACGAATAAGCCTCTAGATATGTTGGAAAAAATACACTCTGTAGTATTTGCATACAATATTATCTAGTGACCTTCTAGTAGTATTGACAGTGAAGGATCATTTTTTATGGGTATTCACAAAAGCTAAACTCACTTTGCATTTTTTCCAGTATAAATTATGGTTTTTTTGGATGCTGGAACATAGATCTAAGTGACAGAAGAGTCATTCTTCATTACTCCTCACTTGCATTCAGAAAAAAAAATGCTATTTTTCTTAAGAGGACAGCACTCTGGCTAGAGGCTTTTATCTTTTTTCTAATGCCTAGACTTTACCTCAGTCCCCTTTTATCTCTAGATAGCTGCATTTTAAGGAGGCAGTAAGAATGCTGCAGATTTAGCACATTTCACATTATTTCAAATCCTTGTCTGCTTGACTACATTATTTTTCCTCAGTCTATTCAGGGTAGCTGTACTAACAGTAACTTAAGAGTAAGGTAGTGATGGGTCTCAGACCTAAGGGAATTGAAGCAAAGGAGTCATGTGCTGGGTACAGAGAATACTTACCAAGAAGGTAATAAAAAAGTGAGAGAGTTCAGTTGTGGCCAAAGGCCCAGTAAGTACCTTCAATTTATAAAATACTTGTTTTATTTAGTTCAGTGCTGTATGATAAAGTTACTGTTAAAAAAGCAGTCCCTTCTGAGCAAAGGGTAATAAATATTTACCATTAAATGAGTCCATCCTGTAATCAGGACTGTAGTTTATCCTCACAGTCTTGCAGCTTATTTCTCTTTTCCTTCCATCGTTAGTGTTTCAGATGTCCTGCCCTTTGAATAACCTTTCTAAAACTATTCTTTTGAGAGCCTAATGCAATGTTATTATTTGAGATCAGAAGCAGTAGCTTGTTCCAGTCTGTAATAAATCTGGCATAGTAGTTCAGTGCTTTTCAAAGAGAGCAGAAATAATGTTGTCTAACTTGTGTAATAAAGGCAAGTACTGTCGTTGCTGTTATTTACTGAGACCCATCATGAGCAAACAGTGGCTTTAACCAAGCTATCGGGTATCTTGGTGCTGAATCAGCATGCTGTACTTGGCTATCTCAGCTAAAGATATCTGTCTTATCTCTGCCTTACAGCTGGCTTCTGTGCACAAGCTGGAACGGAGAGGATTTGGCTCTACTTGTACAGGAAGAAGTATCCAGCATAGACAGCACTGAGAGTTGAACAAAGGATTCACTTACCTGGGTTTTCTAATCTGACCTGCAGTGGCAGAGACCCTTATATCACACACAGCATAGAGTTAACACAACAATTAAAGATGCAGTCTAAAAGCAGCCCTGCAGCAATAACCACTAAACTGATAGCCCTCTATTTCCAGTGTCTCCTTTTAGCACTTGAATTAAGCAAGCTCTTATACTTAACTATGCAAATAGGCTGGCAGTAGAGATTTTAATGCTGCTTTCAGCACAGGGAAAAGATAAGGTCTTTCCACCTACGCTTTCTCAAGTTTGAAAATGTTAGCTGTGGCATGTTGTACATCTTGTATCATTCTAAGTGGGGTGACAGTGACGATAAGCTTATTAGCTCTTTAGCCAGAGTGCACGAGAGAATTCTGTTGAAGCCACAGAGCTCATGCCGGCTAAAGATGCAGTCCACCGTGGATATCGTGAAAGGGCCGTCTTACTGTGAAGCACACAGAATTGTCTGAAATTAGTAAACTAAAAGGTCCTTCTTTCAGAAGGCAACCAAACTGGAAGAAATACTTCTCTGTAAGTAGAAGTACATCTGCTGTAAGCTGCAGTTAGCAGAGAATGTTTGTGCAAGTTTAACTTACGATGTGTGGACTTTGCCTCTGACTTAGTTCTTAAAATGGATTTTCACACTGAACAGTCATACTTAGAAAATTTCCAGCTTGCGGAGTGTGAAGTTACGCCTATGCCTACATTTTGCACAGACCATATTGCACATTTATTTTTAGATTATACATCTATGATCCTTTTCCATGTATTTGGGACTGCATACAGACACTTCTGTTCTTTCTCCCATAAATACTTCTTTTCCAGTTAAGCTGGGCTATACTGACTTAAATCTTTCTCCTAGGGAAAGGATGTGATATCTTTTCTCTTCAGTGGATCTTCTGATTTTTTTTAATAACCCTGAAATGAGGTGACAAATTCTGAACCATGCATCTAATCATCTTGCAATGTAGCATAATTTATTAGCACTTGAGTAGCATTTCTCATCTTCAAAGCACCTTATAAATGCTATTCATTTTAAAGAACATACGTCTGTAACAGATAATTCTCCCCCCGTTTCAGAGAGAGGGAAATAAACAGAGTAGTGACTTGCCCTCAGTCACAGTGCAAATCAGCAAGAGCACCAAATCTAGAAATCAGTTTCTGCTCCTTGACTCTTCAGCTTTTTGCTTGAGAGCTTTATGCAGAAACTAGCACAGTTTCTGAAATGTACAGCACAGCAGAAAAAAACATGAATGTGATCACCATGTTAAGGACCACTCCCATGTGCTTATTTAAGAGTTTTACAGCTAATGTTGTGCTGATTCCTGAAAGTACAGGTAGGCTGTGTGTGACTTTCTTCCCCCAGAACGGATTACGTGGAAAAATCAAAATATGATAAGCTGGCTGATGTTCACAAGAGGAAAATGGTACGAAAGCAACTGTGAAGTGGAAACTGACTTCACATGCACATAGCATAGGATAAAAATGAGGAAGGACAACCATAGCATAATCAGTGGTCTACTAGCATCTATTAGTGTCAGTCATATGAACAGATCACTTCTGCAGAGCGTCTCAGTGGTACTCCACCAAAAAAACATCAGCACAGGAGGATGATAGTATGGCAGATCCTTTCTTGTTTGAACTACGGTATTGTTCCAAGCTACGCATCGTGGCCACTAAGAGGTTTGGAAAAGAGTTCAAATAAGGTCAAGGAGAGTTATCCTATACAGGATACTACTGTGTGTCATGGCTGAAAGCTGTTCATTTCCTCCAAGATAAGGGCAATGAAGCTTTATGCAGCTAGTAAATAGAGCTTCTGTCCTGAACTACCAAGGCTGCCCATTAAAGACCATTAGCTTTTGCTATGTAGTTTGAAGAGCGGCCAGTAAATAAGACTCTCTGCCCCTGCACTGCCTGAGTTGCTGCCAATTTCTTGGAGAAGCAGGCTGAGTTTTACAATGATCAGTGGGTCCAAAACATAGTAAGTACTTCCAGAGAGATTAATGAAACACTGATCTGAAGGACTTCAGCACAAAGATTACATTGTCTTCCTTTTTCTTTATGTCTGTCCTTCTTTATAAAAAGGGCGTGTCCTTTCATTTCCTCTTCCTCAATGAAGGCCTCTGCTATGGCTCTGATGGTAGCAACAAAGAAATCTAATTCAGCAGTAGCATTCTGTTAGTGTAAATGAGAATTTTCACATGCAGTTCAGGGATGGCTTTGTTATGGTTTGATCTCACTGTACAAAATATCTGTTGTTTACAAAATATTTCTGGCAGACACAGCCTTTAGAACTGGCTGCAAAGTTTGGTCAAAACACCTGTAGGATATGAAGCGTTGTTTAAAGTGTCTGGCAGAATGCAAACTGAGGAGCCAGGTACTCATGAGCTTTTTGTTTTTAAATCAAAATCTTAAGGTTTGTAATAGTTGGTCTATGTATATATAAAGGCAAATATTATTTTGACGGAAGTTAATAAAATGAAATTTGGTCTTTTAAACTCTACCTTGTATTTGTAGCTCTTGAATTGATTGTTGACAAATAACCAGCAGGATGTGAACAGTAGCAGCAGCACTAGTGTCATGTTTTTTGAAGTCATAAAAAAAATAGTAGCGCATGAAAATGCGCTCTTGCTTCCCTCCAGTGCTTAGTGAGAGGAAAGGATACTGCCAAGAACACCAGCACCAAGAGGAGGAGGGGAACTACACAGCAGGACAGCACTATCTGCAAGAAGTCAGCATGGGTGCAATGCTGGTTTAAGCCTCCACCAGACCTGTGCCTCAGGTTGGGCCCAAAGAGAGCATAACGAGGCAAGACCTGGAGGCAGGGGGCCATCCCAGCTCCACCTGGCTGCACAGGCACCACGCTTGGCATGCCTAAGCCTGGACACAGCCTGTGGGCTGCTACTCGCAGAACTTCTCTTACAGAGTGAGGCCCCTACAAAAGGGGGAGAAGGGGCTGGGCCAGGAATACCAACTGCCAGCCTAGCTCAACCCACTGCACAAAGATTAATTTTGCCCCTTTTTCTGTGTATGAAAGGGCTGTACATTTTTCGTCAGACATTTTGCAAGTGCAATCCTTCCTTTTTATCTCAAAAGTTCTTCATCCCAGTCCTGGCTGACTCCCACAGCTAAAATGAACAACTTGCAGCATAAACTCTTCCCCATGCCATTGCTTTCCAGCCTGGCTATCCCCTAAAATTAGCTTTTACAGACATGTTGAACAACCCAACTTCCCTGCTCCAAGCGTCATTTGCTCCCATCCGAGATGATAAACCACGCAAATCCTTGAACAAAACCAACTGCAAATTATGTCTGGCCTCCTAATCTGTGCCCACTCTTCACTACACTAGTAAGAAACAGTACTAAGTTACTCGTAAAGTACTTAAGCACAGACACCGTAGCACCCAACTTTCAACCAACAACAGGAAAGGCCAGCTAACTAGATCTGCTGAAGCAGGGAGCCTATAAGGCACTTGTAACTGTGAACAACCCCAGCATAGCTCCCTGCGTTCTGCAGCCCCATTCCTGGAACAGTACCATTACACTGCAGGAAGGGGGAAGTGAAAAATCTCTCAAAAGGTCTATTCCCCTCTCTTAAGCACTCCCAGACCTGATAAGGTTATCCCACAGCCCTTCTGGCCTGAGCCTATGTCAGCATAAAGCCAAGTGAACCAAAAGGAGCTTGCTTTATTGCATCACCTTGCTTTCTTTCACTATTTACAAAACACTACCATGAAACTTTAGTCACTTCTAAAGTAACAGCCAATCCTGTTATTTAAGTACAGCAACTCACATATAGAATAAACAGCTACCTAAAAGAGTGTGCAAGTCTATGCTTTCATGTTCCATTATTGTTCTGTATTTAGCCTCACTGAAGCAAAGGAAAAAAATATAAATGAAGCCTGAACTTGCACTTATTAGCAAAAGCCTCCAATCTCCACAACTCTCCAGTGAAAGACAACTTTAAAAAGCTCACTTTTTAAATGAAAGAAGTTTGAATTTAAAAATAAATAAAATAGCTAGTATCTTATAATATTAAATAGCCAGCAAAGTATATTATATTATACTTTCTCAACATTTCTAATTTGCTGCAAGTTTTTTTTAATAAGTATGCATAGCAGCATTGTAACGTTTACAAGAGAGAAGCTCCCTATGGGCTAACGCTCATAATTTGTGGCAGCTTTAAGCATACTGAAAAGCACAAAAGATGTTTTGTATTGTGAAAGAGGTTTATAGCAGTGCATTTCTGCCTAAGTGATCTACAATGGAACCCTAGTGCTAACTATCAAGTTTTTTGGCACTTAACAGACATCAAAAGCTGCTTAATAAATGTTTCTGCCTTAGAAATATTGTTTCAGGCTCCCTGCAGATGACAAGAGACAGGTCCTTTTGGACTGCAGACCTTTTTCCACACACACACAGGAGAGGGAAGAAAGCCTGAGTTCAGGGGCACAGGGTTTCAGATACAATCACAAACAATACACCAAAAAGTGGAAAAGAAATAACTTGTAAAACTTTGTCTAGTTACTATTTCAGTTGTGCACAGTGCCATACAGTATTAGCTCCCTTGCAAGAATTGTACATAATATGACATCAGAAAATAGTTATTGTTATACCCGTGAACTTAATGAAGGTGCCCAATTAAACACACAAACACACCCTTCAGTACCCTACTCCTTGCTAAAACATTAAGATCAGATTTTGGTAAATCCATACAGAGTTATTTTTGATCTAATACCATTGTATTCTCATGCTCTTACTGCAGCAGCTTTGTTATGTACTGTCATAATGAAATAGCATTATTTCTTAATCTCTGAATAACAAAATACCTAGATCTAGGGCTGCTCTTTTGCAGTTATGTTCCCAAATGGATTTTAAAATACTTGGTTCAAGTCTAAGTGGAAGTTCTTTCCAGTTTCAGAAATCAGAATATCCTCTCAGGCACAGAGCTGCAATAAAATTCAGACTTTTAACTCCTTTCTTTCAGTGGTACTTCCAGTTCTGCACAATATTACAATGGCTTACTAGTAAGTGCACTACTGTCAACAGGAAGACGAAAATGTATGTAGTAGGATTCCACTGGCAGTGTGGATGCCACTGCAGATCTTTAAAGAAACTGCAGAAGAAAACAGAAGCACTGTATGTTGGGGATAAGAGATGCTTGATTTACGATTAAATATATTTTGGAACGCCACAGCATTTATAGCAAACTTTTATTCAATGATTAAAAAAAAGTATGGAAATTTTCATGAACAAAAAAGTTACTCAATGGAAAATATCTTCTTTTCCCATTTAAAAAGTTCTTTTGCAAGAACATTCATTAAATGCATTTGCCTACAGTAATCAGTTTTAAAATGCACGGGCATTTTTGGATTTCTTGTATACATATATAGCATTTCCATAGTTAAGAAGCTATTATCCTGAGCAGTTTACGAAGAGACATTATTTAATCTAGTTACAGGACATTGCTATAATTGACAACAAGCACAAAACAATTTATAGACTTTAAACATTTAATGTGCCTTTTCATCAAGGAAGGCAAGTGATATCTGTAGGACTGTTTAACACTGCAAGTGTCACTTTAATATAATGTATTTGGGTCTGTATTACAAAGACAAACACAAAACATCTATGGAGAACAGACTTGGAGTACATTTTGTTACAATAAACCAAGCTTGTATTCCATCATCATGTGTGGCTCTCCCATAACCTCACTCTGTGAGGGATCTGGAACAAAAAAAAAAGAAAGAAAGAAAATTAGGTTTCTACGAAGCTACAGAGACAGGCAATAACTCAAGATGATCATATTTCACCTAGATTTCCCTTTTCATACTAATGCTTAGTACAACAATTAGTCTACTGATTTTTGACACTGTGCGCAGCACAGGTCTGTCCAAAGTAATGATCAGATAATCAATACATCTCTAATGGTACAGGTTTTTTGTAAGGGGAAAACCAAAAACAACTTAAGCAAAGCCACACAGTTCTATATATGCACAATCTCCTACAGTCTGAATATCAAGACTGATTTGAGTTTGGTGTCCAAAAAAATGGGACTTTCACGATGCTTTTCCCAAAGGCACTCCACACATCTTTCCAATGCCACTTCTCTGGGGTCTAGCACAGTAGGAGCTCATATTCTAGGCTTTCTGCTAGCTGCGGCATACCACTAAAGGTTTCTCTTCTCCAGCTGACTGCTTAGTTTCACAGACATTCTCACCCTTAAGTATCTATGAGATGTCAACCCTGCTTTACAGGATGGAAAGGCATTCAAACATTAGCAGAGAACGTGCAGGGGACAAAAGACATGTACCAATACCAACGCTATGAACTTCATTTCCATACAAAAAAAGGATTTAAAAAGAAGAAAAAAAGAGTTGTGAATATGCCTTGGAAGCAATTAACGTTTCCTTACGGGTGTAGCAGACTACTTTCCTTCCATAGACAAGGCGTACTAATGCCTTCTTGATGTTCCTCCAGAGACACTAAAACTACCTCATCTAGCCCCAGCTGACAAATAAGGCCTTTCCAAGAGCAATTTTAACAGAGCACTTACCCCTCCTCATTCTATAAATGTATTACAGCTTGCTGTGAGCAATGGAAAACAACCAAGTTCCTATAAATTGTTTTGACATTGTTCTACTCCCCCAATCACAAGAACCTAAGATTCCTTCCCACGCTCCCTATAAATCCATCCCAGAGAAGATTCTGAGGTTTCCCTCATGCCTCCAGACTTTGACCTACCCCTCCAGTATTTCATGTTCCCCCTATCCCAGAGTCTGTCCATTCTCCAGCCCCACCTCAGACTACCCTCTGCTTCCACCCATGGCCTTAACTACCAGCTAGACAAAAAGCAGATTCCTAAAAACAATGATAAAATAATAATAAAAAATAGGCCAGGTTTATTCCATCCTACACAAATACTGACTGACAGCCAGGAACCCACACAACTCCTAACTCTTGACTTAATATGAGGGAGCCTTCTCCCCATCTCTGTTGCATGTTTGGTGTCTCTCTTCTACTCAGCCTTTTTTCTTTTTAATTATAGAACTTGCAAAAACTGTGCGTCTTTGAAACCTCTGTCAAAACTTGGGTAAGTACTTCAAAAGTTTGCTGGGGAACAGGCATCTAGCAAAAGCATATAATCTTCAATTCCTTAAGAAACCCAGCTTAAAAGTAAATACAGGCTTATGCCATATTTCAGAATAATTGCCAGACAACTAACAGCTGAGCCACATTTAATTCTCCATCCTTTCACTTTGGAAATTCAATTTCTATCTGTATTTTACATTTTAAATTTTTATAATCCCTAGAAGTAAACAATATAACAGTTCCCAAATTTTACCATTCCATTAATCTCAAGTAATTTTAGATAGCTCACAAAACATTTGAAAGAAAATGTATTTACCATTAAGAATATCCTCAAAACCAATGCATTCATCATTTCCCCTCAGAGTATCCAGTGCTATGTTTGAGCTGTGAAGAAATGGGAGGCGCTGGACC